TAATATGTAGCAGAATAACAGAATTGAACAAACCAAATAAAGTTGAATAACTTCTCCAGATTAAAAAGACCTAGTGTCTGGGAGGAGATAAGAATTCCCCGGAAAATCCATTATTTTAGCGATTAATCGATTATGCTCGATTATCGCGTCGATTTCAGAAGTTCTGGAACATTCCAATACCTGCACGTGACTAGCAACCTCCTGAAGATCGACCAAAACTATGTGCGATAACTATGTTTGGCGGTTGACCTTCCTATTCCAGATGTCGAAGATCAGCAAAGGACCTAGAATTACAACCAAGGTCCGCTGCCTTTGTACAGTATTTTGTTGACGGCGGTTAACATGTTATTTTGTCAAGGTCATTGGCGTTCTGCTTTTTCCTTCGTTTGGGTTAGCAGTTTTGTGGAGCCGTAAAGTGCCTATTTCGGAATCGCGTCTAGTATTAAGATTATAACAACTGACGACGGATAAATAGGAAATGTACTGAATTTTTATATTGAACAATTCCAATAGCTGCTTTTTCAACAACGATCTCAAATGGAGGCACAAATGAAAATGATCGAAAATTTTTTCACAATGCTTGAGCTTGCAGTCAACAGGAGCAGCGACGCGGGACACGCGGGCGAGCTCCTTTCTACTCACGAATGCAATCACTGATTTCATTTTTGACGCGAATTCTGAGTGCACATTCGAAGTGTGGTTCAAGCGCTGGGTCGATATGTCCCAGATGCACTTTATGCGTCAGGACGACTTCTGGAAGGTGCGATTGCTAATCCGAAAGCTCGGAACAAATGTACATTCAAAATTCATAGATCACATTCTGCTCAAACAGCCGAAGGATCTGGCGTTTGAGGAAGCAGTGTCGCAGCTGAATGAAATTTTTGGTAAGTCAGTATCCTTTTTTAGTATTCGCTATCAATGCCTGAATATTGTCTAACGGGAATCGGACGACTTTAGGTCCCTAGAAGACATGATTAACCGTGAGTGTGAGCGTTTCAAGCTGCGCTCTTTAACAGACGGCCAGTTTAAATGTCTCATTTTTTCAAATCTCTGCAATCCGCCAGTGATGCTGGGATCCGCACGAGGCTTTTAGTTAAGCTGGATCAGGATCCTGATCTGACACTGAATTCCCTCATAAGCGAATGCAAACGGCTGTGCACTCTTAGACACGACACTACTCTGATCGAACAGAATGGTTTTGCACCACCTGATACCGTGCTCTCCCTGAAAAGCTCAGGACTGTCAGCTCAAGCAAATCATTCAAGCGGTCCGCGAACCAACCGCCCACAGCATGCTGGTCCTGCGGCGGATAGCATTGCACGCCTTTACCCATACAAACGTCATATTTTTGAAAGGTGCCTTAAGGAGGAATTCTGCAGTCAAGTCAGACCGAGTAACGTGAAGAAGTTTTCTCGAAAGTGTAATTCTAGAAGGGATAACGCAGAGTCTCTGTCCATAGTTGCCGCATTCCAAAGTGTGTGTAAACCTAGACGACGATTTATCAGCGTTTTGATTAATGGGATCTCTACGAAACTGCAATTTGACATGGCCTCTGACATTACGATTACTTCCAGGAACATATGGAATCACATAATGTGGCCAAAGATGGTCAAATCTCACAAAGTTTCTCACAACACATCCGGTGGTGTGTTAAAATTGTTGGACGAACTTACTTGCGAGATTGCATTCAAAGGTGTGGCAGAGTCGGGAACGTGCCACATTTCCGACCGGCCGAATTTGAATCATCTTGATCTCGACTAGATTTAAAAGTTTCAACTCCTTGATGTTCCTTTGAATCAGCGCTACAATCGAGTCCGAGCAAGTCGAGACCCATCATCCAATTCCGTCGAAAACATGACACGTTCGCTGTAGCAAAAATTTGTCTCTGTCTTTCAGGATGGCTTAAGCCATTGTACGAAATACAAGGCAACGCTAACCCTGGGACCAGGAACCAAACCAATCATTAAGACTGAAAGACTAGTACCATATGCAGCTATATCAACCGTTGCTCAAGAACTCGATCCACTGGAACCAGCCGGAGTCATCACAGCTCAAGTACTCATCATTGGCCGCGCCTATTGTCGCAATGAAGAAGACAGATGGCAAGGTACGCGTCCGAGCTGACTTCTCAACTTGATTTAACTCCGCGTTAGACAACCACCAGTGCCCATTACCCGTACCGGAAAAATAGAATGTTGGTAAGTGCTTTGCTAAGCGTGACTTGTCCGATGCCTACCTTCAAGTGGATGTTGCCGAAGACTCGAAGGAGTTGTTGACGATCAACACTCATCGTGAGCTATTCCGATACAACCGCTTGCCCTTTGGTATAAAAACGGCACCAGCCATTTCCAAACAGTTGATGGATACAATGCTTGCGGGCGTTTCTGGAGCCGCTGCATATCTGGATGATATCATATTGATGGGTCAGACACCGGAAGAACTGTTTAACCGCCTGGTTGTATACAGTCATACCGTTTCCGGATCCGTAAGAATAAATGCACACTTTTCACCCCGATCATCAAATAACTCGGCGTTATCCTTGAAAACCATGGACGTCGACCAGATCCGGCAAATGTAGAAGTCATAAGAAAAATGCCTCCACCAACAGATCTACAATCCCTGCGTTCATTTTGTGGGCTCATCAGCCATTGCAGCGCATTCTTGCCTGAGCTGCACCGCCTGCGTGCCCCGCTAAACATGCTACTAGCCGAAGGCCAAACTTGGAACTGGACATCAGAATGTCTTCGAACGAGTCAAGATATTGCTGTCCTCATACTTGCTTTTGACTTATTTTGATTCATCTATAGAAATTGTCTTAGCCACAGATGCATCAAGCCATGGGATTGGTACTGTAATTTCACAGACGTACTCCGATGGATCTCAGAAAGCAATCGCCCATGCCGTCAGAACACTTACGAAGGCCGGGAGAAATTACAGCCAGATCGAGAAAGAAGCATTGACGATAGTGTACGCGGTCAAAAAATTCCACCAAATGCTGTACGTCCACCGCTTCAAGCTTCTGAGAGATCACAAGCCCTTGCTGGATATCTTTGGTTCGAAAAAGAGCACCCTGGCCTACACAACCAACTGGCTACAACATCGGGCTCTTACCTTAATGGCCTATGATTTCGAGATCCACTACCAGTCGACATTTTCCATTGGCCAAGCTGATGCACTGTCACGCCTAATTGATGCCCACTAGCACGAACATGAGGACGCAATCATTGCCTCGGTCGAGATCGAACCTGACATCAACTATCTGGTGAGTGATGCATTGCATGATCTGCCTGTTACCGCAGAAGCTGTACGAACCGCAACGCTTCGGGACCCAGTACTCAACAAAGTTACACAGATTCACAAAACAAATTGGCCACGTTCATGTCCATCTGTCGAGTTGCAACAGTACTTCCAGAGGAGACACTCCCATTCTATTGTGAACGACTGCATACTATTTTTGGAAAGAGTGCTCATCTCCAAGGCACTTCAGGAGCGCGGTATTCTGCGGTTCCATGCCGCGCATCCTGGGATCAACCGGATGAAGGCTCTTGCCCACAACTGTGTATACTGGCCTTTCATGGACAAACAGATAGAACTGGCTAAACACTGCCAAAGGTGCGCCAATGTCTTAAAAGTGCCACAAAAACGGAGCTCCATTCATGGCCAAAAGCTACTAAACCATGGTGCCGCATCCATGTCGACTTCGCAGGACCGATCAATGGCCGGAATTTCCTCATCATAGTCAACTCATACAGCAAGTAGTCTGAAGTATTTCTCATGGGTAACACAACCGGCAATGCTACAGTATCAAGGCTGCGCCGAATCTTCAGCATATTCGGCTGTCCAGCGATAATTGTAACTGACAACGTCACGCACTTCACTTCGGCAACTTTTACGGAATTCTGCAAGCATTGTTCCGTCCAGTAAATTCGCTGACCGCCGTTTCACCCACAGTCAAATGGCCAGGCGCAAAGGTTTGTCGATACGTCCAAGCGAGCTCTCCACAAGTCGAAATAGGAGGGACGTATAGAGGATGTGTTGGACGGGTTCCTTTTTCTGCCGATCAACACCGGGTCCACAAGCGCCGGACGGAGTTTCTCCAGCACAGGCTATGATGAACCGGAAGCTTTGCATGCCTTTCGACGCCATCAGACCGCGCTCAGAATTCTCTGTTGGTGAAAGAAACCGCAGAAGGGGACAAGATTTTAACCGACGGCATGGAGCAAAGAAATGATCGTTTTAACTTGGACAGACAGTACTGGTACGCTACTATCGGAAAGGCCACGCGGAGTGCACGCCAAGGACGGTCAAAAACAAGCGCAGAAATGTCATGTATGACGTGGTCGTGGGTCTCGGCCCGGCATGCAAACCAGCTACGGCCAACGCTGTGTCAACCAGACGAAGCAAAATCTCCTGTTCGACCGATTAGTGGAAAACTTCAACTTGCCCAAAGAACTCGTGGACGACTGCTCACAGTCGAGCAAGGAAACCAGACCACAGACGTCAGAACCCACTTCTCGAGCACTTCAGCTCAGGTGATATACCGACAGACAAGGAGCACCTTCCCAAAGACTGCAAGTGAATCTCAGGCTTTCATCATATGCGGCGGGCGCCATCTTAGGAGGGGGTGTCCGGAAGAAGATAAGAATACCCTAGCAAATCCATTATTTCAGCGATTAATCGATTTTTCTCGATTGTCGCATCGATTTAGAAAGTTCTGGTACATTCCAATACCTGCACGTGACTACCAACCTCCTGAAGATCGGCCAAAACTATGTGCTATAACTAACCTTGGCGATTGACCTTCCTATTTCAGTAGTCGAAGGTAAGCAAGCGATCTAGCACTACAGCCAAGGTCCGCTGCAGTTGTACAGTGTTTTGTTGACGGCGGTTAACACGTTATTTTGTCAAGGTCATTGGCGTTCTGCTTTTTCCTTCGGTTGGGCTAGAAGTTTTGTGGAGCAGTAAAGTGCCTATTTCGGAATCGCGTCTAATGTGCCGATTATAATACCTTGTTTAAGTGTAATTTGGTTTAGCCTAACTGCGTTGAAGAAGCATCATGAATGCAACAGCAAGCTCATGATGAGGCGCTCATATATATATATATATATATATATATATATATATATATATATATATCAGAATTTGCACTTCTCCGTTCTACCGTTAACACACTCTGTATTCCCCCTAGATTTATTCCTTTGGGACGTTACTGTGTAGTAGTGTTTTTCACCTGAGATAAATCACCTTGGTATCTGTGATCTTCGGCTCTGATTTGGTCCCTTCTGTTGACAGATACGCTCGATTCCAGACTTAGATGGGCTCTTGTCGGATCGATGCTGCTAAGGGAGCGGACGCTTCCCGCTCAATATTATCAACTAGTTTCGTCACTGGCGATTCCCGTGGTCTTTTTGTATTCATCTGCTTTTCTTTTCCTCAAATTCTTTGTAATTCAAAATTTATAGCCTTTCTATTTATGGTCAGACGCTTTTTCTTGCTTGACAAGGACAGTTACTGGAGCATCTTGTGTAATGTAATAAGGTAGTTCGGGGATTAGCGAGAGAATCTGTCTCTAAATTACCAACTCTGTCCTCTTTACTTGTTTCACCTGAATGACATTGGGGGATGAGGGTCGTTTTACCACAGTGGCCGCTGCTGCATGACGTAATGTGTTGGGCACGAGCAGTTGCGCTGTCTTGAGCCGGAATCCTTCAAGTGTTCCAAGGAAGTGCGCGCTACTGACAATTCCCACTAGGCGAAAACCGTTGATGAACAAGTATCTGTGCGTTTATTGGCTGCAATATTGAAATTCATTGCGACCACCCCTAGAAATGCTTCTATTCAACGCACTGATTACTTATTATTGTTATCCGGACGGATTCTGTCGCACGCATTCCGTTCATCTTCCACTTCATTATCCCCACGATTTAAGCGATGATTTGGACCAATTAGACACATCCATCTCTGAAACTGGTCACCGTTGGCGATGTATGCGCGAGGCAATCGATATACTCAAAACTCTTGGAGACTGTCAAGTGAAAGCGGATTCATCAAACTGTTTTGATGAATGCAGCGTTGTTCTCCTGGAGCATGATAATGTAGAAGAACAGCCTCCGAGCGATATTGTGACCGCCGCAGCTTTAAACAGTGGATTCGAAAGTAAGCCTCTTTTTTATCCAGTCGCCCACTGGCCGCACCATAAATATACTTCATATTACTTTGAATTATAGTTTACCATCTGATGAGTTTATTTGGAGTCGCTTAAGCCCCAATGATCTTAACGACCCATTGTGGGATTTGGGGTGTTGTTTACACCAGCGTATCTGCAGCGATGGGTTAGGATGCGTAGGACATTAATACTTGGCGGTGCCCGTGTTTCTACATCAAATCAACCGGTTAGAGTGAAAACGTTACGTTTACTGGGGTACGTGTAAGGTATGTTCACCTTCTGCTTGCCATGGGAGACCTCCTCTACCTACTGTGAGCGTGCGTAAAAGTCGAAAGAGTCAACCGTTGATACGGCAGCATGAAAGGAGATCACTGACGACTGAACTGCATACTGATTGTCCTCATCTCACTTTCCCGGCTGATGTCACCTCAGTCCTCGTGAGCCCTACCCCGCTAGCAGCACCAGTAGATTTCATGCTGAAATCATGGCACTGGGAATCCTTACCTGTAGGGGTGACCGCAAGGCGAGGGAATGAAATCCACAAGCAATTTGTCTCGTCTTCCATTGTCAACCGACATGCCACCTTTTGGTATTGCTACATACATCGTCTGAAACTCTATGGCCTGTTAACCTCGTCATACTTTTCCTCACGTTACCCGCAGACCACCAGCGACTGACGACTGGCTTTCGGCACAGTCCAAACAGCGCGAGCGGGGCTGATATTCCTCATGGCACGTGATACTGGATAGTGGATCTAAACAACCTCAAGTACTCGAGCAGAGTTGCTCGTAATCCTAGTCTTCATTGACTTCATTCCTTCTCAGATTTTTGTGAAGCAAACGAGTACTGTTTAGGCTGCCACTTTTTCTCATGAATCGTCATCTCATCTAATTTTTCTGGACTAGGATCATATAATTGGCTCGGTGAATTTCGGCTTATCAGTAGAAAATGGAGTGTACAATCATGTGACACTGCTGGGTTCACCGTATAGATGAGAGACAGTGTCCAACTACTTTGAACGCATTTCGTGACTACTTATTCGAAGCCATTGGTGCCTTTGAGATCCAGATGATCTACCTCCAACCCTCTTCAAACTCGGCTATCCTGCTTTTGCGGATGATTTACACGAGATATTAGTGAAACTGTCCCAACCGACCTTATCCGCTCTGTCATAGTCCCAATATTCAAGGGAGGCTCACGATCGGAATGCGGCAACTATAGAGAAATCAGTCTTTTCTCCATCGTCTCCAAATTGCTTGCCTTTGTCATCCTTCACAGACTGACTGTCCCTCGTGAAGTCCATATTCATGCAGAGCAAGCCGGGTTTCGCCGAGGTCGGGGCTGCATCGATCACATATTTACTCTGTGTAAATTATTGGTGTGCCGTCACACATATTCGCAGCCCACCGTTGTAGTGTTTCTGGCTGTCAAATGTGCCTTCGATTCGGTGGATCCATGTGCCTTTTGGGACTGTCTGCTAAGGAAAGGTGTGCCCGAGAAGTTTGTAAATATTAGGCGAGTGCTCTACGCGCGTACCTCAGGCACAGCGAGGGCTTCCAGCAATCTGCCGCCACCCTTCTATATCTCCAGCGGTTTAAGACAAGGATGCTTGCTGTCACCTTTCCTCTTCAACTTCGTCATTGACCAAGTCATGAAGATTGCGTTCACAGGACACGACTTAGTAGGTATGGATCTGCTCCCAGAAGAACAATTTCTTGACTTGAAGTATACAGACAATATTGCCCTCCTTTATGGCAGCTCACAAACGTGCAAGCAGCACTGGACATATTAGCACTGGCTGTCAGCCGTTTCGGGCTTTACTTTGCACCCCCGTAGTGTAAACCATTCCTCCAGGATTTGTAGGGACCGCGTCTTGCGTCTACCCTTGTCGGGACCAGCTAGAAGTCGTTCCAAAATCCAACTATCTGGGCAGTTGTATCAGCATCTGTGGAATCGAAGGGGAGTTCATGAACCATATAGCAAAAGCTCGAGACGCTTTTGCTAACTTTCGTCCCTGTGGTGTAGTGGCCATATCACTCTCGCTCTGAGGGGTAGAGTATACAACGCTGCCGTAGGTTGGACACTATTGTACGGTTGTGAAACCTGGCCCATTAGGTGGGCAGACGTGAAGAGTTTAGTTAGGTTCGACCACCGGTGTCTTCGTAGTTTGACTCACATGTGGTGGGATCACCGTTTGAGCAATGAGCTTGTTCGACGCCTTGTTTATGGCGCAGGAAGAGAATGTAAACCGCTCAGCGCCGTTATTTTACGTACCAGGAGCCTTTCGCCTCCCTGTTTGGGGTCCGCAAAACATGACCAGGAGCCGATCTCATTGGGGTTAGTGTGTTGAACTTCTTGTCCCTCCCCTCCCTGTTAATCTCCTCCCCCAACCGCGATCGCATTTCTTAGCATAATATAATTTTGCACAATAAATTTTTTTGCTGCGTACTAGCCGGCTGGTAGCTTTCTGAAGCGAAGTCCATCCGTTACTGGGCGCGCAGCTGGCGTTTATCGCTTTTCTTTTTTCTTATATATTGCGGTACAGTATCTGAGGTGTTTTCCACCTCTAATTATCGTGCTTGATGTATGTGAATGTACGTTTTTTCTTGCATCCGGCTGCCGTCCTCCGTATTCGTTCCTCGCCATCTTCCTTGAATGGGCGAAACTTCAGAAAGACGTGATATGACGACACTAACGATTTTCACTTTCATGTGGCTAAATGATTCCTTATTATGTTCGTTGCATTCGCGGTCCCTGTGGCGATCCTGTATCTGACGTCCTAATTTCAAATCCCAATTTCGACGATTGAACTGTACCAGACCTGAGTCCCTGAACCTAACTGTCCCCCATACCCCCTATGCTTTTGAGCTTTACAGCAAAAACCAACATGATATAGAAAAATATTAGCTACATTCTAGTCCAATTAAGATTTATTTACCCAGATGGGTCATCATTGTACACATTAGCTAGAGGTTGAAGGCACCTCAGCTACTGTGTCGCAATAATTAAGAGAAAAGTAAGAAGAAACATGCAACAGTTGCATACCAGCTGAGCTACCAGCCGGCTACCATGTGATTGAGGTCGGCTCCTAGCCGTATCAGCAAGTGTATCCAGCCAAACATGTTCATCGTCTTTCGGGCCCCAACCAGGGAGCCGAGGCGCTCCAACCGAGGCCAGCTCAGAAGTGAGAGCCTTCATTCCTCTCGACCAAGTCATCGCTTGGCCACCCCCTCTTCTTCCATCCACACCCAGCGAGCAAACAACGCACGTGGCGGGAGCCCGTGGGTTGGCATGTGCAACACGTGGCCCAGCCATTGGAGCCTGGTGCGTGAAATAACGGTGCTGAGCGGTTCATTTCCTTTTCCTGTGCCTTAAACAAGGCGTCGAACACGCTCGTTGCTCACGCGGTGTTTTCACCAGATGTGAGCTAAATTGCGAAGGCATCGGTGCTCGAACGTAAGTAGTCTGTTCAGGTCCGCTGCTTTAAGCGGCCAGGTTTCACAACCGTACAGCAGGGTCGAACATACTGCTGCATTGTACACTGTACCCTTCAGGGCGAGAGTGATGTCTCGCTGGTGCCATAAGTGGCGAAGGTTAGCAAAAGCGCCCCTAGCTTTTGCTATGCGGTTCGTGATCTCATCTTCAATCCCACGGCGCTGATACAACTTCCCGGGTAGTTGATTTTTTGAACGACTTCTAGCTGATCCCCACCAACGGTCAGCGTAGGAGGCGATCCCTGTCAATCTTGGAGGAACGCTTTGCACTTCGAGAGTGCAAAGCAAAGCCCGAAGTGACGGACAGCTATTGCTAATCTGTCCAGTGCCGCTTGACACATTTGTAAACTGTTACCGATTAGGGCAATATCGTCTGCATACTCCAAGTCAAGAAGTCGTTCTTCTGGGAGCAAATCAACACCTTCAAAGTCGTGTCCTGTGAACGCGATTTCCATGGCTTCGTCAACAGCGAAGTTGAAGAGGATAGGTGACAGCGGACATCCTTGTCTCACGCCTCTGGAGATATTAAAGGGCGACGACAACTTGCCGTAAGTCCTCACTCTGCCCGAGCTACGTGCATATAATGCTCGGATAATATTCACATATTTCTCAGGTACACCTTTCCTGAGTAGACAGTCCCAAAGTGCTTGTCTATCCACCGAATCGAATGCACCTTTGATTCGAGGAACACGATAACGGTGGGCCGCCACTATGTGTGACGGTGCTCCAACAACTGACGCAAGGTGAAGATGTGATCAATGCAGCCAAGACCTCAACGAAATCCAGCTTGCTCTTCACGAATCTGGCTTTCACGAGTGCCAGTCAGTCTGTGAAGGATGACAGAGGCAAGCAATTTGGAGGCGATGGAGATCAGACTGATTCCTCTATGGCTGCCGCATTCCGATCATGAGCATCCCTTGAAAATTGGGACTATGACGGAGTGGCTTCAATCGGTTGGGACAGTTTCTTGCTCCCACAGTTTGACTATTAACTCGTGTAAATCATGCACAAGAGCAGGTCCCCCGAATTTGAAGAGGGCTGGAGGAAGATCATCAGGTCACGCGGCGTTATTTAACTTCAGCAGAATGATCTCACGTTCGACTTCTAAGCGAGAGGGTGGGTCCAAAGGGCAGCCCACGGAGCGGGGCGATCAGTGGCCGGCGAGAAATCTAACCATTCCGACCGATTAAATTGCCTTTCAAAGTGCTCAGCCCAACGCTCTAAGCGTTTTGATAAGTTGTGGATAGGCTGTCCACTCTCGTCACGCATAGTTTCGACCTTTTCTTTAGTGGAGCTCGAAAATCAGGGACTGGGATTCTGTAGATGCATTGTTCAATACTATTATCTAGCCAAAAGGCATGAACCGTTCTACGCTGTGCTCATCTGGTACTGTTCCTACTTTTTACATTCGCGCGACTTCATCATATGTCATTTATTCGCTTACTAACAACTTATGTTATCCGTTACCTTATTCCTTGTTCATACATCTCCCTACGATTCTGGTTGCACCACGAATCATTGAGTTCATCCTGTGACTCTCCTTCGACTCCGATCCTTGTTCTCTGTGGCGTGCTTCAACCTACGGACACTCATGCAGAATGGACAGCAAGCCCTCGATGTTGACGTCTGTTGCCTTTCCGAAATCCGATTGCAAGCTCCCAGCACTGTGCTTATGCTATCCCCCACACCACATATCACCTTCTTCCTTCGGGATACCCAGAAGCAGCCTCAGCGGGTGGCTATATGACACGAGACTGGACCTTAACGTGATGCGACGGTTTGCGTACCTCTTTGACCCACTGAGCTATACTGTGTGATGCTTCTGGGCATCTTGAGAGCTACTCACACCAGGTTGGTCAATGGTGAGAGGTCAGACGAACCCAGTCTCCTGGTCCTCCAGGTTGGGGGTTTGAAATGGGATGGCGTCCATTTCTGTGAAAATAAATCACTGCCACCTCCCCACTGCCTTGCGGGCAGGCTTTTGAGCCAAAGGCTTTGGATGAGAACTCTAATCGTCCTCCTGTCTAGGTCTGGGCGCCCTGGCAGTATCTCAGCCCACATACAACCATGAAATTGTCTTCAGACCTAAACTTCATCCTGCATCGGCCGTCGCGCAGATTATCAAGTGTCGCCTTATCTGCTGCATTCAGCAGGGCGGATAAGCGAAAACATGCTACTGTTGGCGCCTCCCTTCTTCCTTTTCCACCTGTTTCTCTTACTCCCATCCCGAGCCTCACTAATAACACTTCTATAATTCCCAGTATAAATGACAGCAACCGAAGTGCCACTGGAGTAGAACCATCTGCAGCCACCATCCCAGAGCACCTATCGGACGCCTATCGGTAAAAGTCCCTTATAAGGCCACGCTATCCCGTTTCCATGGCGACATTCAATGTTCGCACTCTAAGACAAACAAGTCAATAGGCTGCACTCGCACGCACCTTGGATACACTGGGTGTTGATGTGTGTTGTGTGTCCGAAACTAGGATTAATGTCCCTAACGGGGTTATTGAATTGACTGCACCCGGCTTATCCTCTCGTTATTGGTTGCACGCATCCGGAGACGCCGATGCAGCACTAACGGGTCAAGCTGGTGTAGGTATCATTCTTAGCTCCAAGGCTGAGTCATCGTTGATTGATTGCATTCCGGTGAACAGCCGTTTATGTGCAGCCCGTTTGACGACATCAGCTAAGGTGGGTTCACGAATTAATACAAAACGCTGTTTGTTTGTGATTTCCGTTTACGCTCCCACCGACTGCAGTTCTAATGCTGTCAAGGACACTTTCTATCACGAACTGAACACGCTGCTACGCAGTGCTACTAGTTCAGATATTATAGTACTTGCAGGGGATATGAACTCACAAGTAGGGCGTCTGAGCTCTTCAGAAGCTCAGCTGGGTGGTACTTATGGGCTTAACTCCGAACGGGCTGACAACGGTGAGCGTCTGCTACAACTGTGTGCGGAGCACCAGTTGTTTCTTAGTAGCACTGCTTTTAGACACAGTGGGCGCCGAAGTGCCACTTGGCGTCCACCTGTAGCTGACCAGCGATGGACCCAAATTGACCACATAGCCATAAGTTATAGGTGGCGTGGTTCCATCCTGGATTACCGCTCGTACTGGAGTACCTGTGTCGACTCTGATCATGCCTTGGTGACCTGTCGTTTCTCTTTGAACTTTACCGGAAGGCGCACCAAGCGTCTCCTCCGATTGGCAACTTAGAAATTGTCTCAGTCGTCGGTCAGGCAAGCCTGTCAAGACACACTGCATACTGAACTTCCGCAGTCTTGTCCTAATGACACTTAGCTCCAGTGGAATAGGATGTCGGCCGCCATGCACGACGCAAGAGCATCTGTTTGTGACATTATCCATTGTCACCGCACTAGTCACTGGATATCCGAGAGGTCCGTGAACTTTTTGGAATCTAGAAGACACCTCCCAGCGGGTTCTGAACACAATGTGGCCAGACGCGCTATTAGGCGTGAACTAAAGCGGAGCCTGCTTGATGTACCAGTCGGACTCAAGAAATGGAGGAGGCAGGAGCAGTAGGCAATTACCGCAAGCTCTTCCAGCTAATCCGCACCACTGGTCCGAGAAAACCAGGCATCAGTGAGACAATCAGGGACAGTGCGGGTGCGCTGATACACAATAAGGAGCGCCGTATGGCTCGTAGGGTGGAACACTTTCAAGATCAGTTCAGCTGGCCCCGTGCTCCCGAACCTCTTCCTACTCAGGTAATGCAGGACGAGTCATGGATGGTTAGTTTAGCGCCTCCATCGGAGGCCGAGGTCCGAAACGCGGTCACAGCCTTTAATCGTTTTCGTGCCGCTGGCCCGGATTCCCTCCCACCTGCACTATTTAAGGATGGAGGTGAGGTCCTCTGCAGGGCACTGACCTCCCTCTTCCAACGTATCTGGAAGGAAAAGTGTCCCGGCTAATTGGAGTAAATCGATTATAGTGGCAATATACAAGAAGGGCAGTCGCACAGACTGTGCGAACCACAGGGGTATTAGCCTAACGCCAGTAGTGACAAAATTATTGGCGTCGATTACGTTTGTCGCCTCACTGCGGAACGGAAATATCGCATTAGGGAAGAGCAGGCTGGTTTCCGCCAAGGACGTGGCTGTATAGACCATATATTCGCTTTGCGGCAGGTGCTAGAGCAGCGTCACGCATACCGCAGACCGACAATAGCTGTGTTCCTTGATTTCAAGAGTGCGTTCGATTCAGTCGATCGGTCGATTCTGTTCGAAATACTTGCGCGAAAAGGTGTTCCTACGAAATATGTGGACATCCTTCGTGCTCTATACTCGAACACTACAGTCCGCGTCAAGGTCTATGGTGTCCTATCAGATAGCTTTCCGACCACAAGTGGCGTTCGTCAGGGTTGTCCGATTTCCCCGTTTTTGTTCAATTTCGTCGTGGATTCTATCATGGAGTGTTCCCTTGCGGAATCTCATGATGTAGGCGTTGAAGTGCTGCCTGGTGAAAGCTTATTTGACCTAGATTATGCGGACGATATCGTCTTGCTTTTCGATGATGTTGGGGCGGCACAATCAACCCTGAATAGCCTATCCAGATTGGTCCCATTATTTGGTATGCACTTTGCACCTTCAAAGCGCAAAGTGTTGCTGCAGGACCACCAGTCATTTGATGCCCCCTTGACGCTTGCAAACGAGGAACTCAAGGTGGTTGATCATTTCATTTATCTTGGCAGCTGCATCAGCAATGCTGGGCGCATAGAAACTGACATCAGCTCACGCATTGCAAAGGCCAGGGCTGCCTTCTTGAACCTGCGTCATCTTTGGCGACAGAAGGGAGTTTCCCTCCGTCTGAAAGGCCGTGTGTACAAGGCCACAGTGAGGGCCGTTCTGCTGTATGGTAGTGAGACTTGGCCCCTTCGGTCTGAAGAGCTGAGGCGCCTTCAAGTCTTTGATCATCGTTGTCTGCGAAGCATTGATGGAGTCGGATGGCACCAGCGTGTCTGCAACGATAATGTGCGTAGGCGAGTACTACGTGGTGATGATCATGCTAGCTCCCTAGAACAACCGATAGCACTGAATAAGTTGCGTTGGCTCGGACATGTGCTACGTATGTATGAGCACCGCTTACCTAGGAGGGCCTTGTTTAGTCTACCAGGTGTAGGGTAGCGCATGGCTCGAGGTGGACGGAAGTTGATTTGGCAGCGGGAAATGAAGTCACTGACGACCAAACTGGGTGCCGTTGGTCCGTCTCATCTTCCGGGCTGGAGTCCACGTGACTCGCCTTGTGCTTGGCTCGAGACTTTACAGGACAAGGCTCGCAACCGACACCAGTGGCGAGTTTGCTGCTGTTCGCTAGCTGGATTGTCTGTTTAAAGTGTGTTTGGTGCTGAGTTATCTGCGGGATAATGGCTGATTATGATGCATGGCAATGAAAGCCGCAAGGAAGCTGTCTCGCCGATGCCGCCTTATCTTTGCACGATAGCTAGCTGTTTGTGACGGTATGTTGTCTACACAAGGTGTAGGCACCTTGATCCTGAATGTTTGCTTAGGGCATCAAGGTTTTCAGGTAAGTCCCTCTTCTCTCCCTCCTCTTATTCTTTATTTCATAGGTCCTCATGGTTGTACGGCAGTGAAGCATCAGTTCAAATGGCTGATGTACTGCTCTTGATGATGATGATATATGACACTAAGTAGCAGGGCCAAGGCTGCACTGCTAGACTGGTTCTTGTTTAACAGCCGACTTTATGCAGTTCGGCTCAGGGGTTCATGTTGAATCAACAAACATCGCGAGGAGAGACGCAACTTGTTTGTGATCGTGTTTCCTTACACATTCCCTAGTTGGGCTAGAGAATTAGAGACTAGGATTATTCTGTGGGTGCATCGTTCTCCACTTTTGTTGAGCCATGCGCACCGGTTGGCGCGGTCTCACTCTATTCTGGCGAATATAGACCTTATTCCTCTTCCTCGTAACATTGGCGATTAGGCTTCAACCATTCGATCTATTCGCGACACTGGAGGACGATGTTAACAGTTATTATGATTACCCTGTGATAAACAATGTATCCACTAATACGGGTGCCAGGTTCACACCGTTGCTACAGGATGCGTTATAGCCCAGCTAGCCACTCATCTCGCATACCTCAATTGGTAGCCAAAAGTTTAACTTAGCTGTGCAGTTAACTTGCCCTAGTTTATTATTGAGGCCTCTGAGGAGTACTCATTCCAATCATGGTAATCTTCTGTGATGGTGCGGTGATGTGAGCTAATGAAACAAAATTATTCGGTGTAAACAAACGTCATTACGCATTGTTTCTTCAGCTGCTATGACGGATTCGGAGGACGTACCGATGTCTGTGGATGAACCCACGACCCCTCACTACTCAACGTGTTTGGGACCTCAGATTATGTGAGTCTTCTCACCTATAACCCTTCTCGTCACCTTTTTGTTGAATTTATGCACTGGATTCACTCAAAGCGAAGACCAGACACTCCTGTATGTTGACTTTTTGTGGTACTTTGGATTACACTGCTCTGTTAAAACCTGTTGCGTTGGTGATTACTTTCCTCTGGTTTTCAACTGCTCCGTCCATTCGCAAGTCCATTCCCTTCTCTATCCGAACGCCGGTTTCTGTATTATGCCATTTCATCGACCCTGACAGGGATGGATTAGCCCCAAAATAACTAGTGGTAGTTACGAAACCGGGCGATCAGACGCCCATTCCTATAGCTCCCAGTAACTGACTGTCCTCTCATGGCGGTTAAGGGCGTCAGCTCTCTCTTCGTAAAGTGCAAATCGCATGCTAGCGGTAGAGGCGATGGTCGTAGGACTTAACTGGGTCTGCTTGATGACTTATTCTTTAGACCTCTTGGTAGATCAGTGTCTACGTGAACTTCATTTTACCCACTGCGCACCTTGTTCTTATTTACTATATACCAATTAACCATCATCAACTGCAGTACATCAGCCGCCTGAACTGATGCTTCGCTGCCTTGCAACAACGGTGACCTACGGAACGAAGAACAATAAGGGAGAGAAGGAGGACCTGCGGTAACCCCTTAATACCTTGTACAAACACTCGGAGTCAAGGCATCTATATCTTGCCAACAACATACCGTCACAAACAGCTGCCTATCGTACAAAGATAAAGTGGCATCGGCGAGATAGCTTCCTTGTGGCTTTCACTGCCCCGCGTCTTACTAAGCAATTATCCCGTAGATAACTTAGCACCACACACACTTTAAACAGGCACTCAAGACTAGGAGACGACAGCAGACATCTCACTGGTGTCAACTACGAGCCATGTCCTGTAACGTCTCAAGCACAATTGACCGGACTATTCTGATTCGTCCCAGCTACCCACAAGCCAGATAGTCTAATCTCAAATTCTAAATATAACCAGACGATCTTTTTGACTTATAGGGGCTGTCTACCACTTTCCCCCATAGCTCGGTTACTGCCTTGTTAGCGCAAACTCCTAGAGGTCATGGATTCGCTGGCCTTTGGGGGACTGAGGGAGTGTGCAGTGCTGACGAGCTCCAATAAGACGAAACGTTCGTCTGATGCTTTTCCGGATTGAAGTTTGGTCTGTTTGCTTTGTGAGCTACTGGGACGAATCAGTAAAATTTCATCATCAACCGGATTGTCTAGTTTCAATCTATATTCTACTATAATCGTAACTTTACCTGCACACTTGCGAAGTTGTGGCTTGTTCTCCGAGCAGAGCAGTTTTATTGCATTTTTGTCACCACTCGCGTTGACCTCTTCAGAGCTTCTCGGTGTAGCCGACGAATTTGCTGATCTACAGGTGTTCCGATTTATTGCATCACACATGCGAATTACACCAAGTCATAGTTGTCCCCGTCACATAGTTCTGTAGTACCATACTTTTTCGCTTTCAGATATGCCGACGAAAATCAATCCAACGATAGGGTCGCATCCTTCTATCTCGGCGATTACAAGAGCAAAATACCAAAGCCTAACCTTCCTGCTGTTCGTGCACTGGGACCGTCTTTTCTCCTGATGAATCCTCCAGCCAATTTACAGAGAGAAGGAAACAGCTTTTCTACAGTGAGTTCATTCTAAATTGTCCATTTTAACAAATCTACTATCATTATGAGCAAGATGAGAGCACGTGGTTGTATGGATATTATTAGTCCGCACCATTCGTTTTTATCGTTTAACCAATGATTAGCACCACTTTTCTGATTCAAAGTAGCCAACTGCTGTGATGTTTAAAACCGATGTTAATACAACGAGCAAGATAGGATGTTGTTTATGCATGTAACTTGGGACAATATGGCGACTGGTGCAAGAATGCTACTCCAGGGGCAATACTTTAATCAGCAATAACGGCACTTCGACATGCCCAAACAGCAAAATCAGAAGTCGTAATCCGTGATATGATCCAGTCTTTTGTTGCATGTTCATCAATCACAGTCATGCAATCGGTATTCGCTTTAACATTTTCTTAAATGCTGTTGTACATAGCTACTATCGGTCGACGTCTTGTCTTGCTTGATCGACCATGTCCACTGCCACGTTCGTAACTTGTGAGACATTGGAGGATAAGACGCCTTATCTCGCAGTTAGCTTACAAATCTTGACGGTCTGAAGCTGTCCAGCGTGGCCCATTGTCATAAGCGGATGACCGGCGGTGCAAACCGCTTGTGGTCATGGGTTCATATCCTGATGGATCCTTTGGCTACCCACTACTGATGCTGATCGTTAGCTGCCTAATCGGTGCTCCTCGCAGAACCCTGATAAGTTCAGCCTCAGTCATTTGTTTCTTATGTCGATGGCAATGACTTCAAGTAGCGTGGAAATGTGAGACCGCTGCTCGCACATCCGGATGATGAATTACTCATCGTAATTGACTCGGTGGCCAGTTCTCAGCAAGGGCCTTGTGATTGTCAAGGCGGCTCGACTTCTGAGTTGTCTCACAATTTACGTCATTGATTCTTCTGTTTGGAGTTATAAGACGAAGTTCCTGTCTCAGACCTCCTTACGTATCCTTGTGATGCATCTGTCGACGATTGTGCGGATGTTGGGCATTAAAACAAACTTTATGCGTAACTTCGATTTGGTGTATCCAATGGTAGCAGACTCTGCAATTTAGCCGATGAGCATAGCCGCTCACTACGTCTTTTGATCGTGTCCGTCGGGTCTGCGCCCAACTAGCTGCTTGCTTCGTCACCTGGATCCATTCCTTTGTCCCAGTTGGCTACCTCCACCTCGTTGGCGTCGACTAGCAGGATACCGATCCTTTTCTCGACGCATGGTAAGAGGCTGTCAAATGTACTGAGTTCCAAATTCGAAGCACATGCGTTCCCAGGCCGTATTCTTTAAAATTAGTACTCTTGTTTGTGGTACTGCTAATTACCTAAACTAAATTGAGGGAAGGATGTAGTTACTAACTGTAGGGATTTCGTCTGGTATTTGACGCAATGCAACTGGCTAAGAGGACAAAGTAACTTGAGTCAAGTATTCACGCCATGTGCGCCAGCATCTGACAAACGTTTCGCAAGTAACTGTTCTTAACGTAGTTGTTCCACGTCCTTGTCCCCTCTTGGACGAAGCTTCAGTGTGGCTAGACAATACTTTGACACAGTAGTATGTAGCGTTTGTCGATTGACTACGTCACGTTTTTTGTCAGCCATCTCATTGCAGCAGAGGGGTCAGTGTTGTTCCTTCGGTGAGCGTTTTTTTCACCATTTGTTACTCCTTACGATAGGTCATTGCAACTTTTGCGTCACAGCTTGCATCTTGCCTGTTCACTCATATTTTTTGTACCCTGTTTTCATTAGTGTGCATCTGTATTGTAGGTTGACTACTAATAATTTCATGAGTAGCGCTTCCCCATTAGTCACTCGTTTGTTCAGCTGAACTGAGATTAACTGTACAATTACCCTCCTTGTTGCTGGCAAATTTGCATCCACTAATCATTCCCCATGCATCAGTAAAGTGAAAACAATTTCATTTCATGCTGCTCCGATCCCTGTTTCTTTTTCACTTAGCCTCAACACATCTCATCTGAGAATTCAAAACAACCGACCTCAATGCCATCTAGGCTCCGTCGACCCAAGGGGGGCATCCCGGTCGCTAGTTTAACCCGACCTGAAGGCATCTTCCCATCCGCGGCGCCTTGGTCTTGAAGATACTTTTTAGATGTCTCCTCTAAACGAGTCACTTCGCAGATTCAACGGTGTTTTCTGTTAACCTGGTATTCGATTAACTCTTTGATGTCATCTGATTGATGATTTCAGTTGACGTGCGTCCCGTTATTGTCGTTTTTTGACTCTGTCACAGATTCGGCGACTGAACTTCCCTCATCTTATCCCACTAATTAACGGTATACTTTTATGTGTAAATACACCTGTGTGACAAACGCATGCTTTTTGCTTCTTGTCTCCTTCCACTTGCACACTGGCTCTCTTTGTACGTATCCCGTAGGCTATTTGCATGAGCGTTATTCGTCCATGTTTGTTCTGTTGTAGTGAAGTGACTTAACTCCTAAATTGGTGATGGGATGGCGGCAGCGACGCGGATTAATAGTCTACTAAGGCATGGCCTTGATTTACTCCTGAATGTATGGACAACGTTATCGGGCTATCTTTCTCTCCCCAACTCGAGCAATGTGCTATGTACTTATACCATATATTTGCTACTAACTTGGCTCCAGGTGTCCACTTAGCGCTGCGACTTCTATCAATCTCTTGCGCGCAGTGAGACGTCCGATGGGCAATCATCCGTCCGTGCGTTTTGTTTTCCTACGTGCCACCGACTTGCGAATCCTGGTCGTGGCATGTGCCTTCGATTGGATGGATGCCAAACCTCAATGTGAGTGCTGATCGTTAGGAGTTTCTTCAAATTCGCCAATTTGCACCTAAGGTTTCTGAGGCCGGTGTCCTAGCTTCTATAGCCATCCGTACCGCAGTGGTGGTCAGGGAGTTCTCCCCCCACCCATCATTTCTAGTATTGATCCTCTGTGTTTAGACTAAATTTTGTGTTGAACTAGAATGCAACGCGAACTTTACAGGCCATATTGTCTGCCCCCTTGGTATTGACCACAAGATGCTATGCCTTTCCATCCACTTGGAAATGAGTACCAAGCTCGACTCACCTACCAAGCATACTATACGAAGGATTGACTTGGAGCGTTTCGGACACCTGATCCGGTCCTCTAATTTAAATGCTTTTCTCCTCTCTACTAGCACCCACATAACAGTGGAACATTTCTACTACCAGATCAATCTCATCATAACTGTAATTGTCCCACATTATAAACGTGCCACTCCTTGTCATAAGAATGCAAGCGACACTCTGAGTAACCTGAAAAAGTCACTCGGGAAATTCAGAAAAACTAGAGACTTCTCACTAGTATTACAGCTGCACGAATCCACCGCCTGCATCAAGCGCTCACAAATGGAACGGATGGAAAAAGAGGTGGAGAACGTCTTGCAGATGACATGCATAGGAAACGAACTGGCCAAATCACTCCGTCATAGGACTAGTGACCAAATGTCCTTGAGTACAGAACTTATTGATGAAGGTCGCCACCATAACAACCCACCCGCAATTTGTGAAGCGTTTAGCACTTTTTTCCACTGCTTCCATGAACGTAAAAACCGACCCTAATCTTGCTGCCCGGAACTTACAAGAAGCGACATAGGTAATGATGTCGAGATTTCTCTTTCGACCATCCAACAGACTAAAGCCCATCAAACTATCGCTGAAACCAAACTCCGATGACATCCCTCCCATCGGTTATTAAACTCGTTGAATGTGACATATCACTGCTTTTGCTGAACATGTTCACCTTGTCCTTAAAATCTGGCTACTTTCCGGATCAGTAGAAAGCATCGTTTATTCTCCCTCGTCATAAAAGGGGGCTCAAATAGCATGTCACTAATTATCGACCTATCCGTCATCGCTAGATTACTCGACAAATTAGTTAAAAGTGGAATCTTGAACTTTATCCATCTTCATTGGCTACTTACCAAATCTCAGCATGGGTTCCTGGATAAACGTTTCTGTACAACGTGTCCGTTGCACTATTTGGATTACATCACAGAAGCCATTGATTCGAAATATGCAATTAGACTACTGTTCCGAGATATGCAAAAAGCATTCGACAGGTTGCCCCACAAGCGGCTACTGAAAAGCATCGGGTCGTTTGGAATCAGAGACCCACTATTTGCTTGGCTGACATCATACCTAAATGGGCGTTACCAGATAGTCTCTCTGGGTAATCATAACTCCTCCCCACGTCCAATCACTAGTGATGTCATCCAGGCGAGTGTACTTGGTCCTTCCCTTTTCCTACTTTATATTAACGATATCACGGCGTTCATAAAACGTGGCAGGCGATTTTTGTTCGCCGATGACATAAACATTGTTTATGAATTTCGACGAGACGGACTCAATAACGTAATGCTGCTCTTTCAAGAAGACCTCTCGATTCACTTGAGAAATGATGCAGCACATGGATGTTAAATTTCTCAGCTATTAAATCATGCATTATGTCACACAGATGTTTAATCTCTGAACTGAACAATGTACGTATCTGAAACTATGCAGCTCTGATCTAGGCATACGATACTCTTCAAACTCTAATTTCTCAGAGCAAGCTGATTATCAAATAGCAGGTGCCAAACGATCTGTGGCTAACATATGCCATTAAATCTACACAACCCCTGTCAGACTCGAACTTTTCAAAATACTTACACTTCTTGTCCTTGAATACTGCAGCATTATCTATAAGAACATGCGTATGGGTAACAGGAAAGCTTTGGAAAGCCTACAAAGACCATTCACTAAGCACTTGTTCAGTAAATCAACCACTCTGATTTATCAGGAGCGCTGCCAGCAGCTTAAGCTCGAGCCCCTTTGGTTGCGACGACTGAAACATAACCTGTTGCTTATACACAATCTCATAAACCAATCCGAGTACACTTAAAATTCAACATAACTTCACTCGGAATATATACGCAACAAGACCTGTACATTATGTGTGCCGAGAACCAGGACAGCTATCCGATCCAACTTCTTCCTCGTCAGGTACGCTGTCATGTGGAATAGCCTACCAACCACAATCAGGTCTTGCACAAATGCAAGGCTTAGTAAATTCCTGGAACAGAACTCGATAATGACCATGTTTCCATCGGGTAAATCATTACACGAGTTCTTCCAGAATGGACAAAGTAATATATAATCAATGATTAGAGCTGGTACAAAACACTCAACAACGAAGGTTATGTTATTCTAAATTGTTTTGTTATCATACACCCCATAAAACACCTCAATCATGCATGAGCATGGTAATTATTGTACCCACAATCCAGGGATAGCCTCTTTTATAATCGGCAAATATACGTATTATTATTATTATATTACTTGAAGCTCCGTGACATCGCATGCTTTTCTTGTGGTTTCGCGTTTCTTTTGTAGTTGGCGAACGGATTTCATTCTCTTTTATTGTCAGCATGTTGTAATCTGTCCCCTTCGAGTAAGTATATCTAGGTTGTGTTCGTCATTCTACTTCTGACATTCACTCTCAGTCTAATTGAATCTGTTAGATTTTGTAAGGCTTTGTATAATTATCACGTGCTTTCTGGGGATCACTGCGCCTACTTACTGTACAGTGCCGCAAACGTCTGACCATAGGGGATAAATGACTGTACAGCAATGGTGGATCCGTCACAACCTTATTGGACCTTAACTTGTGCTACGGTTTGCGTACTTCGTCGACTATTTTAGCTATACTGGATGGGGCCCCGGGAGAGTTACGCCCACCAGGATGGTCAGATGAATTCAGTCTCCTGATCCTCCAGGTTGGGGGTTTGAAATGGGATAGCTTCTATCTCAGTAAAACTGAATTGTTGCCACCTCCTCGTGGCCTTGCGGACAGGCTTTTGATCCAACGGCTTTAGTTGAGTATCCCAATCGTTCTCCTGGCTAGGTCTGGGATCTCTGACAATATATCCCACTACGTACAAACTTCAAACACATACTGAATCGGTTGTCTTGCTGCTTACCAAGACTTGCCTTATCTGTAAAGCAGATAAGCGAAAACATATTACGATCGGTGCTTCCCTTTTTTCCTTTTCATCTGTTTCTATTACTCCCCTCCCAATACACAGTGCTAGACTTCCCTCTATACTTCCCATCGTAATCGACTGCAGCCGCAACGCCACTGCAGTTCTACGATCTGCAGTTGTCCTCCGGCACCATCCAGTGGACGCCAATCGCCAACACACTTTCCCGTTTCCCTGTCGGCGTTCAACATTGTGAGACAAATAGGTCAACTGGCTGCACTCGCACGTACGTTGGACACACTGAGTATTGACGTGTGTTGTGTATCCGAAACTAGGATCAATGACTCTCACGGGGTTATTGAATTAACTGCGCCCGTTTCATCCTCCGGCTATTGGTTGTACTTATCCGGAGACGCTGATGTGGCAAACACTGGTCAAGTTCACAGATGCAAGCTTCCGTTATCGTTGGTTGATTGGATTCATGTGAACAGGCGTTTAAAGACATCAACTAAGGTTGGTTCACAAAGTAATACTAGACGCTGTTTGTTTTTGGTTCCCGTTTATGCTGTCACCGATTGCAGTTCTGATTCTGCCAAGGACACATTCTACCACGAACTGAATGCGCCACTACGCAGTGTTACCACTTCAGATATCATGGTTCTTGCAAGGGATATAAATGCGCAAGTGGATCGTCTGAGCTCTTCAGAAGCTGAGCTAGGTGGTCAGTATGGGCTTAACTCCGAACGCACGGACGATGGTAAGCATCTGCTACAGCTGTGTGCGGAGCATCGGCTGTTGGTAGCACTGCTTATGGACTTAGTGAGCGCCGAAGTATCACTTGGTGTCCACTCACAGCTGGACAACGATGGACCTAAATAGATCATGTTACTTTAAGGTTATCGGGGCGTTGTTCCATCCTGTACTGTCCATCGTTCTGGAATACTTGCGTTGACCCTGATCATGCTTTGATACTATGCCGTTTTCCCATGCATTTTAACAAGAAGCTTCAATGGCATAGGATCTCGGCCGCCATCCACGACGCAGGAGCCTCCGCTTGCGACACTATCAATCGTCACTGCCCGTCTCACTGGATATTCGGGAGATCGGTGAACCTGTTG